AAAATTATATGTCAAATATTCTTTTCACAGTTTTTTTTTTTTCATTTTTTTCTTTTTTCTATTTTTTTTTTTTTTTTTGAAAAGAAAAAAAAAATTAGAAAATGAAAATGAAATGCTAATTAAATGAAAGAAAAAATCATTTTATTCATTCATTACCGTAATCTTTAACAAATTTTTTTTTCTTTTTTTGAAAAAAAAAAAAATTTCATTCATATTTGTTAGCCATTAACAATTAAAATATGAAAAAATTTTTCATTTTTTTTTTTTTTTAAATTCATTTATTAGCATAGAAATATACAAATGAGAGAATATAGTAAATCAATTTGATAATTAAAAATGAAATAAACTTTTTCATAAACTAATGAGTAAGTCAAATTATTAATTAAAATTCTATTCATGCAAATGCATGAATAGAATTTTAATGAAGTATTACTACTACTACTACTACTATTACTATTGCTATTAATGCTTACCAAAGTATATTTATTTACTTTTATAATTGATACAGTAATTTAATATCGAATAAGAAATGTATAATGGAAATGAAATGGAAAAAATTTAAATTGAAATAAATGACAAAAATTTATAAAAAGCAATTCATTTTTCTACAAAAAAAAATTTATTGTATCATAATTAATTTTAATAGCAAAACAAAGGAAAAGAAAAAGTATTAATTAGTAATGAAATATTTACTTAATAAAAGGTATTAATTAATAAAGTAAATATTATTCAGATACAATGTAATAAAAATTCAAATTGTTTTATTGCTCTTTTTTTTGTTGTACTTATTTTTTTGCTGTTTTAATTCAAAAATATTATAATATTTGTTAAAATTTAAAAAATTTTTACCAACAATAATTTAAATGTATTGATAAAATTTAATGTGTAAAATCTTTTCAAACTTAAATTTCTTTCTTTTTCAAATTTACAAATTATCAAATTTAAATTTCTTTTTTTTTTTAAATTTACGTCAAACTTAAATTTCTTTTTTTCGCTATTCTTGAAGAATTAAATGAAAAAAAAAATGTTGCAAATTTGCAAAAATTTAAAAAAAAAAAAAGTCGAAAGAAAGGAAAGAAAGAAAAATAATAAAATTTTGTTAGGAAATTCGCCGACTATTAACAAGAAAATCCATCCCAATCATTCATTCTACAATTTGAGATCATAAAAATTTCGGACAAATTTAAATGAATTAATTCTTGAAGACAATTTTAAAATTTTAATGAAAAATTTTATGGGTGGAAATGAGAATATCAGCGAAAATATGAGCGAATAAAGAGTTTTCCGTATGCGAAATTTTTCGGTTCATTGAATTTTTACAATTTCCTTTTAATATCTTCAAAAGTTCGTTTTCATAAAATTACATTTTATTTTCATTGTTAATTTAAGCATAAAAAGAAGAAAAAAGAAGAAAATTTTTTATTTCTTATTTCAGAAATTTTATGATAAAAAATTAAAAAAGTTGAATTTATCATTTCTTTTTTTCCTTTTTTTACTTTTACAATTTTAATTTATGAAATAAATGATTCATTTTTAGTTTTATTTATTATTCATTTTGAATAATTATAGCTTAAATTTCTAAATTATAATATCAAAAAGAAAAAAAATTTTTTTTTCATTTTGATTTTTAAATTATATAAGGAAATGTATCATCATGAAATTTTTTTACAAATGAATTTAGCAAATAATAATGGTAATAATATTAAGATAATATGATACCAAATAAATAATCATTTACTAAAAATTATAAATGATTTAAATTTAAAAAATTTCTTGCATAATTTATTATTCAAATGATTATAATAATTATTGTTAAAATAGTAAATGAATTAAATTCTCATTGATTTAGGATATAGAAATTTTAAGTAAATGTTAAATTTTCTATTTAATATATTTAGTAAATAAATTTTAATTATTACTTTATAACAATTATTATATGTTATCTGATAATTTTAAAAGTAAAAAATTAATGATTTTTGCAAAAAATTTTATTAGAAAATATTTGTTAATAGCAATGATTAATTAGATTAAACTAATTTATTGATTTAATCAAATCAATCAATCAATCAATCAATGTAATATTTTGTGCACATTTCTGTCTAATCAATCAATCAATCAATCAATTTTAATTGATTCAACCGATAATTATTATAATAATTGACTGATAGATAAATTATATTTAAATGCCTCATTTTCTTTTTTTTTTTTTTTTTATAAATACCTGTTCATTCCATCGGGAAAAAAGAAGAAAAAATTACCTTACAATAGCAATTGATCAAAATAAGATTGTTAAAATTTTTCATAAAATATAAAATTTAAAAAAAAAAAATTGAGATAAAATTTTTGTTCTTATAGGGTAATTTGAAAAAAATTCTTTTTTTTAAACAAAAAAAAAAAAAAAAAAAAAAAAACATTTCATATTTATTTATGAATAAATAAAAGATAAAAGAATAAAGTATAAAAAAAAAATTTTTTTTTCTTAAATTGCAAAATTATTTAGTTAATTAGCAAAATTAAATAATTGTAAATTATAATTGAAAAGCAAAAATGTTGATAACAAAAATTATGCAAAATTTATGTGCTAAATATATGAATTTGAAGAGAGAGAGAGAGAAGGAGAGAGAGAGTTGAGTAAAGGTAAACAATATTTTAAAAATAAATAAATAACATAAAAGATTATGCATGAATTTGAAAAGAGAGAGTTAAGTAAAGGTAAACAATATTAAAAAAATAAATAACATAAAAGATTATGCATGAATTTGAAGAGAGAGAGAGTTAAGTAAAGGTAAACAATATTAAAAAAATAAATAAATAAATAACATAAAAGATTATGCATGAATTTGAAGAGAGAGAGAGAGAAAGAGAGAGAGTAAGTAAAAGTAAATAATATTTAAAAATTAAATAAATAAATAACATAAAAGATTATGCATGAATTTGAAGAGAGAGAGAGTTAAGTAAAGGTAAATAATATTTAAAAATTAAATAAATAAATAACATAAAAGGTTATGCATGAATTTGAAGAGAGAGAGAGTTAAGTAAAGGTAAATAATATTTAAAAATTAAATAAATAAATAACATAAAAGGTTATGCATGAATTTGAAGAGAGAGAGAGAGAGAGTCAAGTAAAGGTAAACAATGTTAAAAAAATAAATAAACAAATAAATAAATGTCATAAAAGATTACGAATGTAAAACGATTTTCAAATAAGCAATTATTTTGTTGCTGAGAGAGAGAGAAATAATCAAATTGAAAAGCGTAAATTTTAAATATATTTTTGTTGATGCTCTAAAATACTGTGTACTTTTTTGTTCATTTAAGTACCATTTCAAATTAAAATTATTCATATCAATGAATAAACACACATGCGATATTTTTCATTCTCTTTTCATTGCATTAAAAATTTTCACTTATTTTTTTCCATTACTTTCGTTCCTTCTTTACTTTCTTATTTTTCAAAAAAAAAAAAAAATTTATTTGAAGACATTTAAAAATCATCATAATTTCTCTATCAAAAGTTTAATTCTTTCCTTTTCTTTTTTCTTTCTTTTTTTTTCTGTATAAAATATTATAAAATAATTTTATTTCACGATATTAAATTAGTAATAAATTTTTATTTTTAAAGTATTGATTGTTTCCTTTTTTTTGAATGAATTTATTCATTTATTTCGAATATTAATGCAATATGTAAATAACATATTATAAATTAATTAAATTTGATATGATGTAATATCTCTTCGACATCTATCAGAAATTCTAATAAATTCTTAATGAAAATAATTAGATATAAAAGTACACTTTAGAAGTAAGTATTACTTATTAAAAATTATAATTTAATTTTAGTTGTATCTTTGTGTTTTAGATTTTCTGATAAATTATATTTGTTTGCAATTTTCCTCAACTCATTATTCTATTCATCATTAATTATTGATAAAAAGATAAAATAAAATTATCAATGCTTGACTTTTCTTTATTTCAAAAAATACTACAATCAAAAATATTTTACATTTATATCGATTAATAGATAATTAATTATTCACTTAAGTATAATCAGTTTAATCAAGTGATAACTTCAAAACTTTCAACTTTTCTTTGTTGTAAATATTCGAATAACATTAAAATTATCATCGAATTTTGATGACAGAATTGATACATTGCTTATCACTAGTGATTTAATTATTAAAAAGAAGTTAAACCTATTTCGGAGTTATTTTGCTGGCAATTAAAAAAATATATTAATGGAAAAAAAAAAAAATTATTGACTGACTTCTTTATTTTATATAAGAGCAAATTTAATGATTGAAAAATTTTTAACATTGATAGAAAATTCTAATAAATAATTCCAGTTTTTTTATTCTTATATAATAAACATTCATTTTAACTATTATAGTTGCTACTAGTTTTTCGTTGTAATATAATTAATTATATTTGTATATCATTTTGCTAAAGTTTTCTTTTTTTTCTTTTTCTCTCTCTCTCTCATACATCTTTTTTTTCCAATCTTTTAATTTTTGCAGAGTAATTTTTTGATTCATTTACATGGATAAATAATTTCTAGTGATTTTTTTTTTCAATAGGTGCAATATTGATAAGGCAGATAAAACTAAATAATTAATCAAACATAAAGCCTTTAGCTAGCAGTGTTAAATTTTATATGAAATCATCACTTTTGAAGAAATTTTTGAAGTTCAAAATTTTCAACAGTCTTATTACAAGGTTCCTATCTGATTATATATCATATCTGTTGTAAATTTGTAGTTCTTATAATTGTTAACAAGCGAAGGGCAATAAATTTTATTCTTTCAACGCAGAAACTATAAAATAAAAAAACTGTACACTGCAGAGGTATCCAAAGATATGAGTCAAATTTGAGCTAAAATCTTTTCCACTTTGAAAAGAAGATCTTATGCAGTCATACTTTCACTTCAAACATAAACGAAAGGAAAGAAGAAATCTCAAATGGATAGTGGCATTTTTCCTAAACAATTTGAATTATATATGCTCTATTCATCATTGCTTTGCTTTGTAGTGGGAATCCTTTTAGAAACATCAATCTTTAAATAAGCATTAGCATTATGCTTCGGTATGAACAAGAAATTTTCTGGTACCTTTCCTAAAAACATCTCCGAAATTTTAATCCAATCTCTAGACTGATCGCTAGCCAACAAAGTTTCTAGATCGGAACGGCCATGATAAAACGGCGGTCTCTCGTTCATGCGCTGTGGCACAACCTACAACCATAATATTTCAAATAATAAAAAATTTCTAAGGCCTTTTGAATAAAATTCTTCTCTTAAAACCTGTTTCTCTCTTGTTATATGCTAGCTACACAAATCAATCAATGATAGAAACTAAACATAACTGTTTGCTATAAAAATAATAAGCATTAAATTCCATTTTTGTAAAAGACAAAATTTAATATAAGACTATCAAATATCTTAATAGCTATTCTATTCAATTTCAAATGAACAATTAAACAATTAAAATGCTATAGAAGAAAACGAAAGAACGCAACAAACCTCTAACAAACCAACAGGTATGTAACGATATGCGAAAGAAAGCCATTCCAAGAGAAAACGACGAGTTTTTTCCACTCCCTCATCATCGCTACCCCAATGCTCCAAACCGTAATTAACGAATCTAAAGAGAGAAATCATATTAACAAAGTTGAAATGATGTGAAAAATGATAATTTGCAAATATATAAATTAAAATATATACATTTGAATGATGAATCAATTCCAAGTAGACAAAATAAGTCTAAACATCTTTCAAAAAAAAAAAAAAAAAAAAATACAATGCAAAGTCGTGCAGAGAATTACGAATATGACAGAAATTTAAGCATCAATTATAATTCTAAAAAAAACCGCTGATTGTAGTTAATTAATTACTCAAAAATTAACCTCTGTATATAATCCAATCGTTCACTAGCTGTAATATCCCAATGCCTACATTCTTTAATTTCTGTAAAAATCCATGGTTTCATAAGTGCTCCGCGACCAATCATAACACCATTAACTGGATATTTTTCTAACTTCTAAATTATAACACACTTTTGAAAAAAATTTGCATCCAAAATTTAACAGCTTGCTTAGACTACAATTTTAAATAGTGATCTAAAACAATTTTTTTTTTTTATTCCAAACTTTTACTTTTATATTACACATAAGAAATCAACAAATAATGAGCTGTAGAGAAATTAAGATTAAATTTGAAAAATGTAATTTGCCAAAAAATCAATCATTTAAAAGTCAGTGTTGAGGAGATGTTTGCAAATTTTTTCATGCAAATCAAAAACAGATAATGTTACAACGAAACAAAAAAATCTTATAAGAGAGTTTCAAATGTTAGTGTACTCAGGTAATAATCATAAAATTGCTTTCGAGAAATATTTTAGCTGCAATTACAAGAAATTATTAATTAGGAAAGATGATAGATCTAGCAGTCAATCTTTTTAATCACCTTTGCTGCTACCAACAATAAAGTAACACAGTTATAAAGTAATAGTTTTAATCATAATTTAAAAAAATAAAAACTAACCTCATAATAATCTGTATAAGAAAGTACATCACCACAGGCCCAAAATGGAATATTTTGGCAGGCCTCACTACATTGTTGTGTATATGACCAATCCGCCAATTTTGTATATCGTTGAGCCCTGAACCATTTCAATCATAATAAAATCTCACTATCGACACAAAAAATATATATATATATATAAAAACTTTACACTTAAATAAAATGTTATTAAAAAAAAAAATTCCTGCAAAATAGAAAATCTATTTGAAATAAATACTTAGAACGAGGATGCAAAGTAATTAGCTGTGGAGGACAATATTTAACCACTTTCGAGATTGTTTGATGAGCAGTGTAAACACCTTCCTGAAAAAAATAAATAATAATGAAAATAATTTCTAACTTTGTAAATCCATTATTTTATCCCAACTAAGAACATAATATAATGATATAATTGTAGAAAAATCGATACATACCTTAATTCCTGTCCGTAATTTCAAGGTTAGCGGAGTATTTCCAATTACTTTTGACATTGTTTTCATGACCTCAACAAGCTTATTAGATCTCAAAGCCAAACTACACCCTCCACCTTTTTCATTGACTAGATCAATCGGACAACCACAGTTGATATCAATAAAGTCTATCTGGAAAGAAGTATATTTATGAAAAAATTATAAGACGCTACGACAAATAAGCGAATAAGCAAATAAAAATTGATAAAAATAAAGAAATGAATGTCTACTTGCTCATTCTCAGCAATAATTTGTGCAGCACGAGACATTGAGTCAGGATAACCACCTGCTAATTGGACACCGAAATACTTTTCATTTGGATGGCGCTTTAATAATGACCATTCCGACGATGTACCATTCAGATAGTTTGTACAAATTCCTGAAAATTGTCTCACTGATTTTCATTATTTCCTCAATTACCTAAATTTTCTATTTGACAAACTTTAAAGAAAAAAAAAAAAAAAAAGAATTCTGAATATCCAACATACCCATTTCAGAACACGTTATTTCAGCACCAAAATCTACACAAAGTCGACGAAATGGTAAATTGCCTAACGTTGTTAATGGTGCCAAATATAACTTCCCCGATAATTCTCGCATATCAATTTTCAAATTTTCACGTTCCATGCAACCTAATGTTTGCAATAATTCAGCAACCGCCTACAAAACGTAGGAACTATATGTATGTACAAGTCACACTTCGAAATCATTCCTGAATCCAAATGATACTTTTTTTCCGGTAAGCTTTAAATTTGTTATGGCAACAGTCCACGAATGTGATAAGCTCTATTGCTTGACCAGTTATGGAAAAATGTAAAGTAAATGAAAATTTAGCAATTAAATAAATGAGACAATAAATATATTCCACTTTACCTGATCACTTTTTCCAAAATCATATTTTCGTTTCCTTAGTGCAATCTGAAGCGGAACTGAATTGGCATTTAAAGTTTTTTTGTATGAAACATCTGGAGATTTAGTAATTTGCTTTGCATTAGATGTGTGTGCATTTGCAAACCTAAATTTGATAAACTAGTTGAAAAAGATCGTAAATTTTGCCAAAAAATAAAATATTTTCAATATTTCTTAACAATTAAATTTTCGGTGATTTTTTTTTTTTTGACTTTAATATTAAATATGCATAAAATATAAATAAGTATATTAATAATATACATCTATTCATAACGATATTACGAGAACTATTAAAGGATCAACTATTAAGAAGATTGATTATGTGAAAAAAGGATGTGTTAAATAAAATCAAAAATAGCGTACCAAATAACTATTACAACAGCGTATTAAATAAATATTGGTAATAATGAAAAAGTAAATAAAATAAACCTGCATGCAAAAGAAAATGGGCATACACCACGTTGATCGAAATTATAACAAATTGAGCCTATATCTGGTGGCTTAATCTTTAGGTATTCTTCAATAGAATGCAATGATGTGCATTTCTCGGTATACTTACATGGTTTACCAAAAATAACCGATTCACATAATCTCGGAAGCTGTTGACGAGCATTTGTAAATGCCTAAAATATGTAAATAATTGGTTAATGATCAAAATAGCAGTACATAAAATATTATCAAATAAAGTACTAATTTGTAAAACAAGTAAAAAAGAAGGATGTATATCTGACTTAGAACTAAATTTCACATATCATCTGACTTAGAAGCAACTAAATTTCATTGCAAATTCTCTAAATCATCAATCTCTTATCGTAACTCACTTTTCGGAGTAAATGTCAAAATTCAAAGTATTTAAATTCATATTAAACAAGCATTTATTTCCTCACGAACATAACCAAAATTAATACAAATGTGAGGAAGAAGAATGCAGAAAATAACATTTAAAAAAAAAAGAAAAAAAAAAAGCTGAGAATACCGAAAAACATAAACACCAAGATATCTATGAGCGATTTTTTTTTTTTGAATAAATTAAACCAGCCTTACTAACTAAAATGCGAGATCTTGTCTAATTTTAGCAGAACATACAATCTTGAACAACAGATTCAAGTTGAAGTGTACAATGAAAGTTTTGCTGCAGTTTAGCTATCTGAATGCAACATACATATATTTCTAAAGGTTTTATCAAAAAATTTGTTTAACCTAATTTCAGCTTCACCTTTTTTTCTAATTACATTCGATATGTCGTTTGTTTTGGTGAATTAAAAGTGTCTTTTTTCCTTCTTTTGATTAATTTGAAATGATAACATATTCAAATAAATTAAAAAAAATTTTCTGAATTGAATTAAAAGCCAATGAAATCTCCGAATCGAAGCTAAAATTTAGTCCAGTTATTTCATAACGAAAAATCGTAATGAAAAATCTAAATTTACCTCAAATATCCTATGAAAAAGACTAGGCAGAAGATTTTACATTCATTATAATTCTATAGAAAAATGTAAAAAAAAAAAAGCATTAAAAACCGAACCATAACAATTCACGTATAAATTTGCTATTAGTAATACAAATTAAATTTAATAATAAAACCACAATAAAAAAAAGAAATAATAAATAAATTAAAAAGTTAAATCAAACAGAATAAGCAAATGCTGAGATAAAAAAGTACAGAAAGAAAGAAAGACTGACAGGCAGATCACTAGAACTAAGTGACTCTTACAAGATACAATTCTAACAGCTTTGGCTAATCAATCACAGCTGGACAAGAAGCATCATTAAATTGACGAACTTTGAATATTTCAACTTAATTAACTCATCTATATCAGAAATTATGTTGCTAAAAAGTTTGAAAAATATTTATATAAAAAGTACATAAACTTCTGTTTTTTTTTTGCCTTTCATTCTTTGAATTTGAAAACTAAATTTGATAATAATTTCTTTAAAACTTCGAAATTTGCAGTACAAGAAATAATATAACGATTAATTATATGAGAGAAATCAATACGAACATAGAACGTCATAAACATTTAAATTATATCCTTCCAGCAAAGGCTTAATTAATGAATACTTCTGAGTTGAGTAAGAGACGATAATAAGGATCTTAAAGATGCAGAGCATTCCTGCTGCATATTTCGCAAGGATATCATAAAGTCTTCAGTAGCTTTAAATTGCAAAGCAAAAGAGTCTGAGCCAGAGATGCCCGAACAAATAACACTGCTTTCAGTTTTCGAAGGGATACTGCCGTTTCTAGACACACTTCCTGATAAATTAGCATTAGAGCTAATGTTTAGATTTTCGGATTGAAAAAGTAATGGTGGCGATGGTTGTTTTGTAGTAATTTGCCGTAGAGCTTGAAGAACTTCCAAACGAAATTCAACTTTTTGTTCTGGATCCAAATTTCTTATAGTAGGAAGTAAGGTAGAGAAGAAAGCGCTATCTTCATCATCTTCCGGATCCGGACATCGTTTTTCCAGAATTATTCTCAGTTCCTCCTCCAATTTTTCCTGCTTTATCCAGTTACAGTTAACCTCTGCACTATGGTCCAAAAAAGGCTTCACAGTATTATCGAGAACGAAATCACAAGAATTTCCAGGATCAGTTGCTGAAGAATGAACAGAATCTGGCTTAGTAACACACGGAGTACCCAGGAATGCTAGCAATCCGGCATGGATATATTCGCGCGTTCGTTTACCTCTCGATTTTATTCCTTCGCCATTCTTTCTTCGTACATCTCTCACATAACAATCGCGTATATTTTTCCATTTACTTTGTATTTCTTTTTCTGAAATACACAAGGCTTTCAGAAATTTCAACAAAAATTTTTGAGAATTTACACCTCCCAAAAATTACGAACAAAGTTAAATATTTTAGGAAAGTGAAAAGAAAACAAAAAAAAAAAAAAAAACGAAAACTATGAAACTAACCAATTCTTTGACGTTCTGTCAAGTCCTTATTTTCAAAATCATGAATAAGCATGCGGCTAACAGTAGACCATCCCTGTCGCCGCTTTGTCCTATCTCGATAATCTTCACATGCTAAATTCCATAGACAAGGTAACTGCTCAACGGCCCAAATTATAGCTTCTGATCTGACTTCACAAACATCCCTTACGGGCCAGCTCACATTTTTCTGGAAACATCGGCGAATGACAAATTAACTGATGACCAAGCAAATTGCAAAAATATCCAGTGCGTTCAGAATGAAATAATAATTTAGTTTTGAGTCCAAAATCTTAAGTACTAATCCTCATCCTTTTCGTCAGTTCTGAGCAAAAAAAGAAAACATCCTAAAACTAAAGAAAAAAAAAAAGATCAGAAGAAAAACCAACATGCATAAAGCGGATAAATCTCATGCGATGGGAAAGATTAGTTGCATAAAGAATTTGAAAGTATAAAAAAGCATATTTAACAGTGAACATGCTTCTCATTAAAATAATAGATTACCCAGGAAGACCAAAAAATAATATTTACTTGAATTATAATATAATGGATTAATAAAAAGTCAATCGATGAGACCATCACGGTTTTTTTGACTTCTTTTTGAATTATACAATATTAAAGCAATTATAAGATTTGACAGATTTCTGAAGGAGACACACAAAGGATGACTTACATATAAATAAATCCAAGGACCACCAAGACAATACGTACCAATCATTAGCTTAGATATCACTTATATTAATTTAGAATTGCTTGAAGCTGCCAAATTAGATTCAGCAGACTAACTTGCTCAATGAGATTCATTTTTTTAAAATTAGTTACGTATTTTATCCATGGGAGTAAACATAAGAAGACAGCATGGAGGTCATTAACTATTTTGGTCATCTATCAACTACTGTCAACAGTGTTAGTGGAATACTGTGAGGAAATAAGTTCCTCGAGTTTGTGCAGATCCACAGTTGCACCAAAATTACAAACATCCAAAATCCAAAATTATGCAAAATACTTACCTCCCTGCATTTCGATTCAGACTTTGGTCAGATTTCACATACAAGAATTTTATTTCTTTAGATATTCATGAAAGCACCATTCAAATACTGCAAAGTTCAAAAAAGACGAACCTTGGCCATTTCCTTTCTGCGTTCGCGGTTCATGCCACGATATTTATGTCTCGGTCTTTCCATAACCACTTTGTCATAGTTTTCTGAAAAAAAAAAAAAAAAAAAAATTGATGCTTTGCAATGTATGGAGGAGCTAACAAAATAAGCATAAGCTCGATGAAAATTATGCAAACAAGAAGATCGACTAGAAAAGCAAATAAAAAACCAATTTAAAAACCAAAAAAAAAAACTAATTTAAAAAAAAAAAAGAAAGAACGACAAACAAGCAACCACAACTAGTTCTTGGATTATCACTCTTTTCATCGATATACTCTTTTTTAATAGGAGCGTAAGCAGGAGGTTTATTATCCATACTGATAGCAGCAGTTGTTGGAATATCGGCGATGGTGGTAGTGATTGTGGTAAATAATGAATTTTTTTCCATGTGGACAGTAGCGAATAAATTATAAGATTTACATATTTTATTGATTAACAGCAGCTTTATTTATCGCATCTAAAATACGTGTAAAATTTCTTCTGGAAAATAAATATCAAACGCTACACAACAAGCGTAAATCTAAAACGATGGAAAAATGAAATGAAGAAACTGAATCACCTGGAAAGCAGAACTTTATTTTCCAATAAATGGTCAAATTTCCCATTCGATAATACTCATAAATCAATCTGCTTTAAATGCCAACAGTTTTCTTATATTTATTTTTTGTAGAAAAAGAGAATGAGAAATTTCGAAATTCAAAATGGAAGAGCAAAGCACAACAAATTGAGTTTTTAAAAAGATTTTACTTTCGAATCTTGCGAACAATAAGACTATAAAATAAATTACACTAATCAATGCTAATATGAATACATCAATATTTATTTAGCTAATAAAAGAAAGTGAAGCATTAGATGTGCTAAATATTGAACAAATAAATTGATAGGTTTATTTTGAAACATTTAAATAACACATGGATCTCATCAAAGTATCTGTATCACTTTAACATTATAGTTAAAATTAGAAGTAAGCAAATAAAATGAAGAAGAGAGGGAGTATACTGCATAAAGAAATTTATTTACGAGAATACTGCATAAAAATAACAAAGATAAAGTTAATTTTAATAAAAAATAACTGAATTAAGAAAAAGTTACTATCCAATTATTAAAGAGGAAAATTAAGTTAAAAGTATGATAAATTTTGGAAAAACTTTCTACCATTGGAAACATAATAATCATCGAGAATAAATCATTAGATATTGACCACTTCTCGAGCTAAGCGGGAAACACTCAGCAAATTTAGCCGCTTCTCTTGCTCTCGGCGACTTCCAAAACTGCATTTAACATATTTTTTCCCCATGGTAATTCGCGGTTTGAATATTCTCCTTTTGTTGTGTTTTTTTTTTTTTTTGTTGTTGTTTAATAAATTGACAATTTTAATTTTCATTCATATTTTTTATTTGCATTATTCATTGGTACTGAAATAATTATCAAAATCACATAGATTCTGATGAAGTAATATTCGTTGATAACCGGAAGAAACTTATTGTATTACCAAAATGACTAATTACGATGAAGCGCCAAAATATATCAATGATAACACTTATCGTAAGTATTATGAATACGTAATAATTAATTCTATAGAGTTATAATTAAATCTCATTTACTAACAGTTATTAGTAACAAAATAAATTAGATTAATGTGTTTATTTGATTCATAATTAAAAGCCAAATAAATTGTATTGTTTTGTGTCTTATTTATTCTGCAAGATATTCGGGTTTTTTTCTTTGCAGAAGTTTTTGAAAATATCAATGCATCACGTATTCTCAGGGATATTACATTCGTAAGGTTAAATGTAGAAGATGTTTGCATGAATGAAGAAGATGAATTTATCATGGAAGTGATCAGAAAACGATCCTTGTTTGGGTACTGTTTTTTTTTTTTTTTTTTCTTTTAAATTTTTCATCCCTTTTGTTTCGTTGGCCCAATTAAAAGTTATACAATAACTGAGTAATTTCATCATGCTTTATTGATATTCTAACTTTTATATTGCTCAATTTTCATAGTTTAGATTTATTCTGGAATATCAATTTCCATCGATAGATGCTGCATCTACATCACTGAAGGCAAGGGTTCGCATACATGCAAAGCACTTCAATGGTAATGTCATTCATTTCCGACATAAACGTGTTATACGGATTAAGATGATTCCGGAATTGGTTAATTTATGGAAACGGTCATCGTTGTTGTTAGCAATTTATGCGAAATTGAACACATTGGGAAAATATTCTGTTAGTTTAAATTTCCCCAAATTCGATTCAGTTCACTATTATATTATTGGTAATCATTGATAGAAAGACTTTTTTCAAAATAAATTCGGGAAAAATTTCTTTTTGGGAAAAATTGATGTTTTCAGTTTTTGTTTGGAAGCTTTCGTGTCCAATATAGTTTTTCTTTACTGGTTTCATGATTTTTTTTTTTCTTTTATGAATAGTGTTGTTGACTGTTCCGCGAAGAAAGAGTGATGCATGTGTAATTTCATATTTCTTTTTACTGTGTTTTGGGTCTCAAAGAAATTTGTGCTCTGCAAACAAAGCTTAATATAAGGATTACAATTAAAGCAGCCCGAATTTTACAGATGAAAAGGTTAGGAATCTGTGAAGTGCCGTTAGAGGAACTTGTTATTCCTCCTTTTATCATCTGTCGAGATTTTCTGTTTGCTGGTCCCGGATTCTCAGCTTCTGCTTTGGTTTGTTTTCAAAAATCGAGTTTTTTTTAAATTTTGATCGTTTATTTGACAGAATGAATTTGATTAAGTTAAGCAGGTCCTCGATTATGAACAATTTTTTAAGATGCTCTTCATCTGTTGTTGTTATTATTAGAAGATTTTGGGATACCAAAATACAAGTGAACTTACAACTTTCACTTTTAACTTTTAAGGACTTAAGTCGTGATGCTCAATTTGTTAATTAATCAATTAAATTGTCATAACTTTAGTGCTGCAGATAAAAATTGATCTTGGATCACATATACGACTATTGATGGAAAGGTTGGAATGGATGAGAAATGGTAGTTTACCACAAAATGGATCAGTTACTCGTGCCAGATCAAGGTCCTGCAGTAGAAAAGGATCAAGTTATACATCAAAACGACTAGCATCTCCACTACCACAACGTCGTGCCTTCTCTTCATCTCCTCCTCGTTCTTCAAGGATCGCTGATCAAGTTAAGTTTCTTGTTGCTACTTTTATTCTATCTTGGAATATCATTTTTATGTTTTTTTTTTTTTTTTTTTACAGTGAGTGAAAAATTTTTCGGACATTTGAAAATTTAATTTTAACTGTTCAAAAAATATTTTAGTACTGAGACCTCCACCGTTGAATCTTGACAGTAGTAGTTCACGAAATACTTCACCGCATGCAATTAATGTTCCGCGTACAGCAATACGTGAACTTTGTCCAACAAGTCCATCTTATCGAATCAGATTAACCGTTTATTCGGCTCGTCGTTTGCCACTTTCATTCAATTCCAGGTAATTTTTCCCTAGTTTTCAAATATTTTACTGGACGGTAATGTTCAATGTTCGTTAATAGTTTTTCTTAAGGAAATTAATGCACATTTTCCTTTTACAGAGGTGATGCTGTTGCGCCATCAACTTATCTAACGGTGATTGGAGAAGATGGACGTACTTTGAGTTCACCGGTACGTGCTGGATCATTACATCCAGAATGGAACTGGACGGAAACATTCAATGTTTGTTCATAATTTTATGTACAGAATAATTCAACAATGTAAAGAAAGCTTTAATTCCTTAATCTTTTCCCAATGAGTTTGATTTTAATTTTCCAAATTGAGCAGCAGATTCTTTCTGTTTTAGGTATCAAGAAGTCGTCAAAATTTGGTCGTGAAATTATGGAAGCGTTGTATTGTTGGAGCAGATAAAGTAATTGGTTTTATATCACTACAACTGCCACCTACTGATACAAGAAAATCGGAGTACGAAATGTCAGATTTATCAATTTCAGATCAAGCACCACTGATAACTGTAAGCATTTATTTTGTTGTATTATTACGATTGTTGTTATGTTTATTAGCTATACTGATATATAACTTAGTATTTTAGGTGAAAAAAAATCGTTTCCATATTTCTGATCTAAAGTGCTGAAGATATTGTTAAAATATGTTAAAATATACTGAAGATATTGTTAAAATTTACTTATTACTTTAAGTTCTTTCTACCGATCACTCTACATTCAAAGCTGTACTCTTTGCTATAAATACATGCAAAAATGCACATCTTTGATTGTTAATCTTTCATTTGCTCTTTATTTCAGCTCTCTATTTCATGTGAAACCTTTCCACATGGTGAGTCATATAATAACACGCCATTATTGGCTCCATCACCACCAATACCGCTCAGGCCTTTTCTCACTGAAACATGTCCACGATTACAAAAGATGACAAGGGAAGAAGTATTCGAAAAATTGAGGTAATATAATGGATTATTTTTTTGATCATTTTTGGCGCATAAATTTGATGAGCTTGGTTTTAAGAAAAAATTTTGAGTGTGTACTTTGTTTTCCTTTTTCAAATTAATTTAGAATTTTATTGCTGCTTTAGTCTAGGCTTTAAACAAACATTAATTTTCGGAAAATTTAACAGGAAAAATATCTCCGAATTAGAACATATGATGGCGCGATTGAAGTATTCGTGATTGCTGCTTCTGATGAATATTTTTGGCTGAATACAAATTGCCTGTGTATTTATGTGCTCTTACAAGTGATATCACACTGAAACTGACGATCCTATTAATTGCAAGTTGCATTTCAGTTTTTTATGAGTGTAGTTTGAATTTATTGTGATTACTAGTCCAAAAAAACAAGAAATTAGATTTTTCATGTTAAAACTAGAAGTGCAGCTGCATGGATTAATCAAATACTCCTAAATATGCAATGTATACTTAGGCGTGTCATTTTATTAATTATTCATATCTGCTTTACCCGTCGAGCATTAATCCTGTAATCCTAATCCTGTAATGTGACAACCGCTAAGCACAATTATTGAAAGTCTATTAGCGCTTGTCGCATATTCATATTTACACAATTAGTTTAGAATTGCAGATACTATTAGGTTTCAACTTATTTTTTCCATTATTCATTTTTAATGGATTCAGCTTGTGAATAGTTGCTGCTTCAATATAAACATATTCGATATACACATATATATTCTTAATCAAGTGATTGAGAAAATAATTACTAGGGCTACTAAGATTCTGCATGGTTAAGGGATTTAAAATTGGCAACCTTATATTTCAGGCGAGATACTAAGAGATTTACAAACTTCATAAATTGTAGAAAGAGAAATAATATAACGTCTAACTAATCTACATCTACTTTCTTCTTGATGCTAAGTGGAATTTTGTCCAAATAGTATATATTTAGGTAATACATTTCGAATTATGAGCACTTCCAATGATAACATCAGTACTTTTTCTTTTTAATTTTTTTTTTCACTCCAGCTGTATTTTCTTCTCAAAGAATTTCAGTTTTTGACTTTAGTAAGTCACAATTGTCTTCACTTTTCATTCTCTCACTGACATAGTGCACTCACCACTAAGATTAATAAGTTGCAAAGCTTTAATTTGAATGTAAAAAAATCATGCGTAAAGACGTAGGTCACAAAATATATCTGCTAGATTTGAACGTTGGATATTATTAAAATGCTGTCACTGTCAACAATGCACACATATGATGTAAAGATGTGCAAAAATATATCAAAGCATTTACTATTCTATACTAAATAACAAGAAAATGCAAATCTAATTGTGATGAACATATGAATTCAATTAACATAACTGTAATTGGTGTTGCAAAAGCAGAATAAGTTCTTTCAAAACTCTAGAGAAATGCAATTAATTGTTATTAAAATTATCAGAACTCAATATGAAATCCGAATGACATTGAAAGAGCTCATAAAGAAGTAGTACTCATTAAGGGCATTGAATGAGAGAAATGCTTACATTCGTTCAATATAGCTTTTTTTTAAAAACAAATTTTTTGAGAACAGGAATATAGTAATTGAAAAGAGAATGTGAAGATTTCTGGGAAATGTTAATGCTAAAAGGATGTCAGAAAATGAAGCTTAATATTCTAAACCTTCCTGCTTTCGCTCTTATGATTGACCTATGACCTACGTACAGTATAAAAATTACACAAGCAATAAACTTCGAAATATGTGTATTATTTATCGAGAATTTCGAAGCTATCATCCTTAAAAACTGTTGCTAAGCTCATTTGTTCTGCACAGCAAACTTCAATTTCTCCCATTTTCTTCTGATCCATATTTTGCTTTCTATCATTTGATCTTTCATCATTGGAATCTTCCAATTTTTGAATTTCCACAGTATCTCTCTGAAATTCTGCTCCCGGACAACTCTCCGATTCAAAATCAAATGCATCTAAGTTTTGAAGATTCGCATCATCTGATGCATTCTGAGCAGACGATGAAGGCATACTTTCAGAATGACTACTTGTTGACGATGAACGCTTATATTTATTTTCATCGTTCTGTGTTTTATGTGCTCTTGAAATTAACTTATCACTGCAAGTCGATGGTGCTGGATCTTTTGGATGGATCTTTGGTCTTTTTCTCAACGATTTCTGAGAATTTGACTTCGTTCTCAGTGCGAATTCAGCTTCGCTTGAGTCTGAACTATCTAAGTTCGGGAATTTCAAACCACGAACAAAATCACGTTCATCTTCTAAAAACAAAAAAGTAATGACTTGTAACTATTAGAAAATAATAGTTTTAAAGATACAAATTAAGTTGCCTACACAAATATATCTGAAACTGAAGATGAGGGAAAAAAGGAAAATCATTTCTCACAGTGATAGTGAAAAGAATGAAATAGCTTATTGTATTTTGCTTAATAAATCTGGCTCGAAAACATACAGAAATTTAAAAATGACCTGTGAAAGGACTAAGAGATCGACTTGGTAACGAAGGTTTGTCGGAGGCTTCTTCAATGTCAGATTCTTCTTCATTACTGAAACCAGGTGGTAGCAAATCCGCTAATTCAGTATCTGTATCATCTAAACAGCTAATTGTATCGCAAAAAAAAAAAAAAAAAAAAAATCTCATATTACATTAAAATTATAAGATTTGTTGTGTTTGTTCTATACCAATCAATATTCTAGAGATTTTTTTATCAGAAAGTTGTTGGAATTTATTTTTTTAAAAAAACAGCGGTGTAAAGACAAAGAGTATAGTACTTTAAGTATCATTGGTAAAAAAAAAAATCTGAGATATAAAAGATTTAGAGAATACAAATGTAAATTACTTACCGCAAAATGGCGATCTTTCAGGAATATGATTGACAACAACTTGGCAAACCGGACCTAAACAATAAATTAATAAGTAGTCCTCGCATACTTTATATTTCTCATATAGAATATCAATTACCGGCTGCAGTAAAATTCGATAAAGTTGTGCGCAGACCTGAAATTGTCAAAAAAATGCTGAAAAGAATGCCTACAAAAAATTAAAAAAAAAAAAAAAAAAAAAACTTTAAGTAGTTTTTTGACAAGTAAGTGAGGTCATTCAAGAGGTATCAAAAAAAAAAAATCATTATCCATTTATTCCCGTATATTAAAAGATACTGTCTTGATTTGAAGTCAAAAGCAAAGAAACTATAAACTAAGAGTACATACCTTATGCATTAATGAAATAAGTAATACAAAGAAAGGCCATAATATACTGTCGCGCACTCTTATCGCTAAAGTACGCAACAATCGTTTTATATATACCAAAACTTTATCAATTTGGTGTTTAATCCATCTGAAATATGCAAAGAAACGAAGTCTAAAAATTACTATAACACAAACAGATAACAAAGATTATTAAAATAATCATAAACATTTTGGAATAATTTAAAATTAAAATAATTGAAATTTTTAGAATCAAAAATCACTTACATTTTAACTGGATTCAAGATAGACTGTTGAAAAAAATTATAAAAACATTTGAAATATCTTGAAAGAAAAACAATAAATGGATTAAACCAATAGCCATGAAAAATATATACAAGACCAAAGCAGAAATAGTTAAAAAGTAATTGTAGCCGAAGTGTAATATTTAGAATAAACCAAGACTTAAGACTAGGCCACCAATGAGCAAACAGCCAATATTGTAGAAATTGAATAATTGCACGACAAGCATTCCGTATTGGTTTAACAATTTTCGTTTTTATCCATCTTATAAGAGCAGAAAAAAAATTCAAAATTGAATTTTGAACAGTGACAAATGTATAATGAATATAATTTTTTATAGCAATAATAGTATAATATAATGCATCTTTTGATCTAATAAATGCCACATTTAAACAGTGCTTTAATCGTAGAATCATGCCAATTAAACCATTTTTAAGTGTCAAATATCCAAAAAATATTCCATCTTTGAGAAATGTTATTATGAAAACTATTCCATTCCTTGTACTCATTATTGCATTTAATATTCCATTCCTTGTAGTCATTACCAGAAATACTATTCCATTTATAACTGCCACTGTAAATATACATATTACTATTTTTCATGCCAATTATTAACTTTAAACAATATTTTCATAGATAATAAGAAATTTTGATAGTAGTGAAAAATTTATAAAATTTACTTCTAAATTCGTAAACTGTGCATAATATGAAATTCTTAAGATTGAATAAGGTTGAAATTGTAACATTTAGCACAGCATTTTTTCCAACGCATAACTTAGTAATTGTTGCAACATAGATACTTCTTACTGTTGCTTTTATCCTCAGTAATTCTTCCATGATTTTTTCTAGTATTGCTGGAAAAAAAAAAAAAAGTTCGAAATAAAAATTTTATATCTCTCAAATTCTTCCAACAAAGGAAAGAAACAAAAAATCATAAAAAAAAAAAAATAAAAAAATAAATAAAACATTGTTGAAAGACATTATTCTTCTTTCAAAACATAAGAAAAAAGACAAAAATAACTTCTTAAACACTTCAAAGCTTTCCTAAAATTGTTGGAAATTTTAGTTTTAAAAAACTAAAACATTTTAAATAGCAACAGAAAGAATATCAACAAAAACATGAAATTAAAAAGAAAAAATTTTTTAACATTTAAAATAAGGAAAACAAACCTATCAGCCATTTTAATCTGATGATATAATCAAGAATTCTATAAAATTTACAGAAAGGAGAAATGATAGTTATCTCAGCAATATATTTCGTTGTTATGCACACTGTATATAAACATTCGTTGATCTTTTGTGGTATTTGATAGTATAGCCATACCGGGTTTATCATTAATAATCCAACTAAAAAAGTAAAATTTTTTTTTAGAATGCGATCAAATAAAAAAGAAAATTAAGTAATAACGAGTTATAAGAGGTCAAATTCAATAAAAAGCACATTAAGAAGCACATCTTTACAAAGTAAATACTATAAAAATTATAGGAAGTAAAAAGTACAACTGCCAAAAGTATATATCATTGTTTATGTGTTTACTGACAATGTAATCTTTAAAAAATCAAAAAAAGAAAACCTGCACTATATGCACTCCAACATGCTTTTTCAAATTCGGTCAAATAAAGGAACTTTGCACTGTACAATGCCATTACTACGCTTGCCGTCTGTAAAAAAGAAATAGTAAATATTTTTGAAATTACTAGAGTTATCATTCAAATTTATATCAATGCTAATGAATCACAAAATAAAAGTTATTAATGATCAAAATGACAGAACTGAAAGAAATTTAATCTATAACTTAGCATAATGCCAATTATATTGTTACAATCGTATTTCACTCTAAAAATCATATTTTAAAATGAATTTTTATAGTTTTAAATTCTGTTGTCCTAATTTTCATTCCTTTATTTCATTTTTCAAACCGCAATAAACTTAACCAAAAGTGTTCGATTAAAAACTTTTTAGCTAAAATTTGCAAAAACTAACCCTCAATACACTTCGTATAGGCCATGTTAAGATATGGCACAAAATACTTCGATCATAAGTTGAGGATAATAAAATATCCCAACTGAAGACACCTGCAGCAAATGAGATCAATAATCGTAGTTGTGTTCCTTTATCCAAATAAAAAACACTCCACCTAAAAATAAAGAAAAATGAAACGAAAGCAATCTTTTATAACAAAAAAAAAAAAAAAAAGAAACGCTCAAAAAATTTGAGACTTAAATAATCTTTCCAGTAACTTTTACATTTAGTCGTTTCTCTTCTTTTTCTTTTTAGATATGTTTTGATCCAATTTTTTAGAATCAACTTTTTCTATTTGCAATTTTTCTACAGTATATTCTTTTATCGAAATAAAAGACACTTTACCTTCCTTTTAAATTATCACATACTATCTCTTCTCTTATCACATAATTAAGATCAATCGATTATTCAATACAATCGAACACAGATAATAACTGGATATATATTTATCATTTTATCATTTAAATATCTTTACAAAAACTTATTCTTTTTTAAAAAAAAAAAATAATATTCACTTACCAAAAAGCACTATTAATAAACATAAAATATGGTGCAGAAGCAGCGGAACGCCATTCGATTACTGCTAAAATAGCTGATTTTATAGCGCAGTAACCATTCCGCATAATTTCCATTTTCTAATTGTTTTAACATCAAAATGCAATATAAGCAATATGATGATAATTAATCAATGATGATATTACGGCAATTTCATCTTCATCCTTTCCATATCATAAATATTTCAGATAAGTTAAAATCTAAAATTTTCATACTTGAATCATAATAATAACAATAATAATTAAGAAGATATAATAGATGGATAAAAATTAATAAATGTTATTTAAGAATTAATAGAATAAATGATGCACATCTTATATATTAATTCAATTTCAAATCAATAATGATATATTATAAAATATTATATGTATTAAAGTGATATACAATCAAATGTTCATTCATTCATTGATTATTATTTTTTGGTTCTTTTTTCTTTGTTTAGTCCAAATATTCAGTCTAATATGAAATTGAAATTACAAATTAATATGAAATGAATTTACTACAGATGTGTTAGTAGTGATAAAAAATCATTAAAAAGAAGAAAAAGAAAAGATAAAATTTGCTTTCTAGAAGAAATATGAGGGTTGCAGAGAGAAAAATTTTGTGAAAAGTTAAATTTTGAAAAAAAAAAAAAAAACTGACCAAACTAAAAGAAATCAATAAACTATTGATTACTTTTGGTAATTAATTATAACACAAAAATTATCAACCAATTGCGATGTAAGTATAATTGATTAGAAATTATAATTAATGACTTAGATAAATTAAGCAATAAAAATAATTTTTACTAAGATAAATGTTATTATTGATATATTCTAAATGCTAGTGCAAGAAGAGAGAAATTTTGAGAAGATTTAGAGAACAAATATTTGTGAGATGTGTGCAACATAGAAACAGACTATAAGTAAACAAAATAAATGTTAAAAGCAAACATTAGACAGTGTATTAGTTAAGATTGACAGTACATTAGCAATCTTAAATGTAAAATTAAAATATGAAAAGAAAAGTTTTAAAAGTTTGAAAACAAAACAAAGAAAAAACAAAAAAAAAAAAAACAACGACTAACAGAAATGTGTAATAAGACATAAAATGTTTACTGATTAGCTTTATGATTGTAATTAAATAGATATCTGGTGAAATAATCAAGTGAAATTTTATAAGTATAAGCATAAGTTTCTTTTTTTTAGTAAGCATTTTAAAGTACAATAATATGTCAGTAAAATTTTCAAAATATTAGGACAAATACTGTGTATAAACATTAATTATGGTAAAAAAAAAAAAAATGAAAGCTAAGCATTCATCTGAAACAAAATTAAAAAAAAAAATTTTCATTTTTTTTTGAACTCTATTTGAATTACTATATTTTCATTTAATTTTTATTATTTAAAATTATCAATAAATGATGTGATATAAAATATTGAGTAAATTATAATAATTGATAACAATCAGTATCTCAGTAGTTGAAAGCGGTCGTTAACTTTTAAAAATATAATACTATTTTACCTATTTGAATTATTCTGTTTATTTGGATACTTTGTTTTTTCTTTTCCCTGAAATGTTTGCATCCATTAATCATTGTTCATACTTTGTTGTAGAAATTAAAATCGAGTACAACTAGTTTTTACTTTAATTACAAATTTATAAAAAGCAATGAAAAGAAACACTGAATAACTTGAAATTTCTGATTGAAAAACAATTTATATTTGTAATTTTGGATTTCAAATCGAACATAAAGAGAGAAAAAATAAAACATTCTACACATTTTAGACGTCATAATAATATGTTTACTGTGCCAAATTGTCAACCAGCTAAGGAACTTTATGGCTCGCTAGAAGTAAAATTGCATACAAATGTAGGGGATTTGGAAGCAAGTAGAATACTTGAACAACGTCTTCAATTACTGGGAATAAAAAATTCTGTACTGCAGGAGAAAGTAGACGTAAAAACTTCTTCTGGTACTATTTTTTTCGTAAAATTTTCCGAATTCAATTGAGGCTTTTATAAAGCCGTAAAATTTTCCGAATTCAATTGATAAATAGTAAAATATATATATATATATAAAATTTTATCCGGTTAAAAAGTTAAATTCTACAAAATTTCATTGATAGTTTAAAATCATTTACAAATGCATAAATTAAACACTATGCAATAAGTTACTGTTAAACATTTCGAACTGATAATATTTGTAGAATCGAACAATTCAAATAAGCAAATCACTCTGCTAATGAATTCATTTGAACCGATAATTTTTGCGCAGGTTATTAGCATTTTCTAATAAAAATAAGCAATTTGTTTATTATTCTTCATTTCAACTTAAGAATTATCGTATATAATACAATGAAGAAAAAAATAAATAAATAAATAATTTTCCATTTCAGAAAATGAAAGAATTCTATTTTTCTTTTTCTTTTTGTAGAAAATACGTACGTATGAAGAAACAAAAGTAAGAAAATGTTCAATTCGATTATGGTTATGGCATCAATATTTATCACGAAATGGTAATTGTTCTTTATGTGATCGACCGCTTAATGGATTACATGAAGTTAGGGAATTTTAATGTTTGAGTATTTGATATAAAATTAAATGAAATATATTTATAGGAAGGAATTAATTTTATTTCATTATTAGAAGGCTTATTTTTAAAAGAAAAATGCAGTTCAAAGACATTATAAATTTAAGCACTCTATGTTAATTTAAAAAAAAAAAAAAAAGCTTTTTTTGATTTAATAAACTTTTTTTTTTGATTCCTTCTGGGAAGGTAAATATTATTGTTATATGAATTATGTATAGTATCTTTAGATATATTTACTAAAAGTATGAAATGTTATTAAACAATAAAGAATAAAAATGGAATGATTTTTCTATCTCTCTCATCATCAAATATTATTCAATGAAATGAAATTACATTAATCAAACACTTCAAAAATTTATTCATTTAATAAATTTTGATAAAGTATAATTTACTAAAGGATGTGATAATGTTAACATGTGCTCATGCAATGCATCCAGAATGTGTGCAAGAAATGCGTCAAAATCGAAATGGTTGTCAAAAATGTGAATTCAATTCGACTAAAATAAATAATTGGCAAAAACGAAAGAGAAAAGATAAGAAAAAAAAATATTTATGCTAATAATAATGTATGAATTATATCAAATTCATACATTATTATTATATTAAATTGATATTTTGTTAATAACAAAGAATATCATTAATTATTACTTTAATAATTAATAAAAAAATATACAAACAAACATATAAATTTCCGTCTTCCTTTTTATTATTATTATTATCACATACTTAAGTAAAAAAAAAAAAAAAAAAACATTTATAAGTATACTAATGCACATTACTTCAAATGACGAATTACTGAGAAATGTGATAATAGAGTGATGCGGAAAACAAACACATACAGTAGTGATGCAACAATTGCATAGCGTCACCTTTATGCAATCCTTTGGTATGGTGGTCTGAGAATTGTGGGCGGTGCTTCTTCTCTTCCCACCCTATGAAAATGGAGTGGTGAATTTTCAGTTTTCTGTTTTTGGATTGGGTTAGGTTTTTTTTTTTTATTTTGTTAATTAATTTAATCTTTAGGTTAATTTTTAGATTGATTTTTTTATTTTATTAATCTGAAGTTAATTAATTTAAAATAAACAAGTAATATAAAATGAAATGTTATTAGTTATGTGCTAAACGCTACAGATGAATTAATTAGCAGTCATATTGAAGTAATTGAAAATGATGGAAAAAATTACTGGAGAGGTGCAAACGATAAAAGATAAATGGACTCTTGTTCCAGCATTTTTACAGGTCAATTATATAATACGTTTTACAATTTTTTTTTTTGATTGTTGTATTAGTCAGTATTAGTTTTATAAGTATTTTTTTTTTCTTCTTTTTTTGTATATTTAATTTTGGAAAGAAAGAATAAAGTTATTTCAATTTGAAAAGAAAGGTATGGAAATTTTATTGTTTTTAAAAGTATTTTTTTTTAAAGTATATTTTTTGTATTAAAGGTTCGTGGACTTGTTAAGCAACATATTGCCAGTTATGACTATTTTGTCAGTACTGAAATCAAAAAGATTTTACGAGCTAATGATAAAATCACGAGCGATGCGAATCCGTCATTTTACTTGAAGTAAAGCATTTTCCCAAGTTTAAGTCCACTTTTAAGCTTCTTAAATTTAGCAAAGACAAGCAACCAATGATTTAATTTCAAAGATTAGAAAAAAGAAGAAAATGGTTAAAAGTGGAGTGAATTTGAGGATTTATTGCAGGTATTTGGATATCCATGTTGGAATGCCTTCGAGCGAGGAAGGTTTTAATCAAATCAATGATAAGATTAGTCCACATGAATGCCGCCTTCGGGATATGACTTATTCCGCACCTATTTCAGTCGATATTGAATACACTCGCGGCAGTCAGCGTGTCTTGAGAAACGGTCTTATAATCGGAAAAATGCCTGTCATGCTACGTTCTAGCAAATGCGTCTTAAAAAATATGGTAATTATAGGTTTTTTTCCTGGAATTTGCAGAGATGCGATTTGTGTTTTGTGTTTTATTTTTAAAACCAAGCGAAAAATTATTTTAAATTAGTCTTGCAAAAGAATTTTTTAAGAACGAAAGTGAACTGGCACGTGTTCAAGAATGTCCATATGATCCGGGTGGTTATTTCATTATACGTGGATCGGAAAAAGTGGTTCTCATTCAAGAACAGCTTTCGAAGAATCGTATCATGATCGGACGAAACAGCAAAAAAGAACTACAATGTGAAGTACGCTAAATTGTTAATTAACATCTTTGATTTTATGCATTTGTTACATTTTACATATCTCAAACTACTGAATTCTAAAAGCGCAAATTTAACTCCATCTGTATTTAAATTGTTTATTTATGTTTATTGCTCTATTGCTGTAAGTGTATTCAAACTTCGAAGTTTCAGATTGTATTTTTTTACTTCTATTTTTACTTCAGTTCTCTTTTCGCCTCACTCTTTATCCTTTCCAGTGTTTTTCTTTTCAAATAATAGTTTTATATCATTTAAAGAAATTTTCTCAGTTTTAAATATGCAAATTATGCTTGCAGATACTCAGTTCTACACAAGAACGTAAAAGTAAAACATACATTGCTAGTAAGAAGCAGCGATATTATGTTCGTCACAATCAGCTTTCTGATGACGTACCAATAGCCATCATTTTTAAGGTAAACAAGCGAATTGGGTTACAGAGAAACACTGATTCAACAGTTATTCGTTTATTAAACTATCAGATTTTGATTTATTTGCTTGAAATAGAAATAATTATAAATAATTGGTGGAAAGAATATAAAACATCAATTTACACAAGTAATAACTTGATTTAAATGATAACTTGGTTCATGTGATATAGTTTTGCAACTGTTTTAATACATGTTTTCCCCTCTTCAGTTAGTTCGACTTATTTCGTGCATTACTGATTGTAGCAAATGACTGATGTAGGCTGAAATTTTAGACATTTAGGACCCTTTATGAAATTAGTTATTACTTCAGGCGATGGGATTTGAATCGGATCATGACATTGTTTCGGCTGTTGGTTTAGAGGAGAAGTTTGTTGCTGCAATGGCGCCATCAATTGAAGAATGTGCAAGTCATCAAATTGTAACACAAGAAGGTGCACTACAATACATAGCTTCAAAGGTTCCTTTTTCTTTTTAAGTATCGAAGTGAAGGATACTGAAATTTTCCTTCCCGACAAATAATTCAATTATCATATTAATGCATTTAATGGTTTATCTTATTTTGTTATTTAGGTTAAAATACGCAAATTTGGCCCAGCTACTTCTGGCACATCAACGTTACCACGTGAACATGAAGCCATTGATTTCTTATCAAATCTGATGATTGCACATGTGCCATGTCCGGACGGAAATATGAAAATGAAAGCTGTTTATTTGGGATTAATGGTTAGAAGGTATGAAAAGCGGAATAAATTTTTAGTTTCTGAAATCTTTCATAATTTTTTAATATTGTTCATTTATACTGAAATTTTCACATTTTTTGAAGTGTTCCGTTCTTTTAAGGACTTTTTGAAAATTTATCAAAATGTTTATATATGAGCATACAAAAAGCATACAAAAATGTGAGCATACAAAAACAAAAAGCGGGGATCCTTGTGTGATTTGGATTATTAGAAATAAAGCTATTCATGAAAAGAAGAAAGCATTTTTAAATAATATCTCTCAGTGTTTCATATTTTTTCAGATTAATGCAAGCAGAAGTGGGTGATACTGAATGTGATGACCGTGATTTTTACGGAAATAAACGCTTAGAGCTGGCGGGCTCTTTACTTGCATTGTTATTTGAGGATGTTTTCAAGAGGTACCATTATTACTTTCCAAACTTATGACTTCATTCTAACTAAGTATTTCAAGCCTGACGTTCATAAAAACATTTTAAGGAAATTAAGTGACAATTTAAAAAAAAAAACAATTTCCAGGTTCAATTCTGAGCTGAAAAGAATTGCTGACAACAGTTTGGGCAAAACGTTGGCTGCTCCACTTGATATAGTTAAACACGTGCGCCAGGTTCGCTTTCACATCAGTTGGTGTATTTGTTGTTTGTAAATTTACATGATATCTTTACAAAGCATCAGTTATGATGTATTTTTAATGTTTATATAGATGACATAAGATGTTTCAGGACTTAATAACAAATGCACTAGTCGATGCTTTAGCAACTGGAAATTGGACAATTAAACGATTTAAAATGGAAAGACAAGGAGTGACACAGGTTTTTTTTATCATCTAGACCTCAGTTTTGGAATTTTTGTATTGTAAAGGAGTTTAATATTTTAGATTTTGTCACGTCTTTCATATATCTGTTAAATATTTCAGGTTTTATCACGTCTTTCATATATATCTGTATTGGGCATGATGACCAGGATCAATTCAACTTTTGAGAAAACGAGGAAAGTAAGTTTTAAAGCAATATTTAGTAGATAATAAAGAATTTGTTCAATGGGATTTAGTTGTGATATTAGAGATGTATCATCTTATCTTAATGAAGTCAAATCACTGTTAAGCTTTTAAATTGAAAATTGAATATTTTTTCACTATTTAGCCAATTTCAGGTTTCTGGACCGCGCTCTCTGCAACCTTCTCAGTGGGGAATGTTATGTCCATCTGATACACCGGAAGGGGAATCTTGTGGTCTTGTCAAAAATTTAGCTCTTCTCAGTCATATTACCACAGATAGCGATGAAAAAGTTCGTTTAATTTCTCGCTTTTTTTGGCTTTTTTACATGCAGGCTCAATTTTGGAGTAGATATTTGCAAAATAATCCAGTGCATTCTTATAAGAGCATGTTTGCAGCCTGTAATTCGTTTGTTATACAATGCGGGTGTAGAAGATGTTAAGTCACTCCATTTTTCTGCTATTCATAATCCGTAAGTTTTCTCGTTAAAAAGCATTTAAATTGTACTGTCGTAATGTGCATAACTAAAATTATTTTCATGGTGTGAGAAAAAAAAAAAAAAACAGATGGAAAATGAAAAATTTCATTGGTTTCTAATTTTGCAGAGCATATCATATTGTTTTTTTAAATGGTGTAATCGTTGGTCTAACGATCGATCCACAGCGAATAGTTTCAACGATAAGAGCTGTTCGAAGGCATGGTTTACTCAATGAATTTGTTTCGGTGTCAACAAATGCTGCTCAGCGATCGGTTTATATAGCCAGTGATGGTGGTCGTCTTTGTCGACCGTACATTATTGTGAAAAATAGCATACCACAAGTTACACAGGAGCATATTGAGGTGATTACAATTGTTAACAGAAAAGGAAATTGACTCATTGACATTTGAAATTTGAAATTTAAATTGTTACATGTGGAAAGGGTTTATTGTTTATGTAATAACATATTAGCGTTGTAAATTTAAAGACATGATGTTTTGCTGACATTTCTTTTTCGTTCATTCTTATAATTATGTAATCATATCGCAGTATTCTAAAAATTCCTTACAGGAGCTCAAGAAAGGATATCGCATTTTCGAAGATTTTGTCGATGATGGTCTAATTGAGTACTTGGATGTAAATGAAATGAATGATGCATCAATTGCGGTTTATGAAAATCAAATTAAGCCTACTACAACGCACT